GCCACGGCAATCGAGGCATCAGCCGGGGTATTCTTGGGCACCTTTCGCCGCCCAAAGCAAAAAAAAACCACACGCGATCCAACGGCCGAAGCCCTTCGAGGTGATTTTAGGGTTTAGGGTTTAGGGTTTAGGGTTTAGGGTTTAGGGTTTAGGTTCTAGGGTTTCGGGTTTAGGGCTGCTCCTCTCGTCTTAACGAACCGCCTCGGATCCTGAGCCCTCTGGCGTGACCATATTTGAACATAGTCTTTGGTTGTTGTTGGCTGGTTTAGGGTTTAGGGTTTAGGGTTTAGGGTTTAGGGTTTAGGGTTTAGGGATTAGGGTTTGGGGGTTAGGGGTTAGGGGCTAGGGGTTTAGGGTTCTAACTTTGAGAGTCTGCAAGTATTCAGATTTTGCAAGGGGCACCCTGGACCCTGAACCCTGAACCCTGTAAACCCTAAACCCTAAACCCTAAACCCTAAGGTTTTTCAATCCAACTGCAGTTGACCGAAGAGCTTTGCAGACCAAGGGAGTTAGGGTTTCGACCCACCCTTTCTATAGTAGAAAGCGAAACCCGGAAACACTTAACCCGTACAAACCCCTAACATTAGGGTTGAGGTTTAGGGTTTAGGTTAGGGTTTAGGTTTAGGGTTTAGGGTTTAGGGTTCAGGGTTTAGGGTTTAGGGCCTAGTGTTTCGGGTTTAAGGTCCTTAGACCCTAAACCCTAAAGCATACCTGCGAAGTCCTTTCGAAGGTTTTCTTCTTTTTTTGTTTTTATTTTGGGGGGGGGAGCACACATATATCTCGGAGGGGACGGGCCAGGCCAGCTCGCTTCGATGTACGGCCGGGCGCTTGGGCGCAGGGCCGTGTATAGGGTTCAGGGTTCAGAGGATTTTTCAGACTCAGAGAACCCTAAACCCTATACCCTAACCCCCATAACCCCCAAACTGTGAGAGCTGTAGGAGTTTGCGGAATGTCCGATGTTCGGCTGCCTTCCGTCTTTTGGGAGGTTTTCAGGGCTACTTGGGCCCACAGTACCCTAAACCCTAAACCCTAAACCTTAAACCCTTAAATCTACAACAAAAGGCGGCCCCAAACAGGCCATGCAAAAAGACCCACGAAGGCCCCTGAAAGGGTCAAACAGGCCCTTGAAAGGGCCCAGAAAGGCCGCCAAAAAAGCCCCCGGAAGGGCTCCAAAAAAGGTCAAAAGGCCCCTATAAACCCTAAACCCTAGACCCTAAACCCTTAACCCTATAAACCCTATAAACCCTATAAACCCTATAAACCCTATAAACCCTATAAACCCTATAAACCCTATAAACCCCAAGCCCTAAATCGCGCCCCTAGAAGGACCGTAAAGGACCCCAAAACGCGCCAAAAGGCCCAAAAAGGCTTTGCGGGGCCCGTTCAAAGCGTTTTCTCACCGGCCAACCCTAAACCCTAAACCCTAAACCCTTTTTCCTCTTGTAGCAAGAGCAAGAGAAAAGGCTGGCCGCTGAAATAGAGAGAGCGATGGGTTTTTTTTTTCCCCCGGCCAACCTCCACGTCTCGTAAGAGCTGATTTAAGGGGGGGGTGTTTGTGGAGAGGTTATCCCACCCAGCCCGGCCCCAGCTACTTCGACTTTTGTCCGCATTCTATGATATAATTAAGATGTCCAGTAGATTTAATGGTTTTTATCTGTGCTTTTAGTTTCTTTCACTTTCTTCTTTTATTTGGACACGAAGATAACGCACGCATGCATGAATTTATCGTGCGAATTAACTGTGCCCGCTAGTAGTAATTCTAATAGTATTTCCAAGGTTAGCCACTAATAGTATAGTTACGGGTCAAAAGACCGTTTTAAATTGACTTCATCTTTTCATCATTTTTTCGCACTTCGTTCGTACACTATTAATATTATTACACGCACGAAGTTTGCCATAACATTCATACGGTTCTCTCTTCGTCTTTATTCACTCTATCTTTCATGACGCACCCTGTTAATTCTCTTATTGGCCCGTCTATAAACACTATCCTTACTGTCGCCACGCTCAACACATCATTCACTTGGTTTTGGAGGTTCACTTCGTTCACTTGTTTCGTTCTTGCATTCACACGCCAATAATAACATTCGTGCGTCTTTCTCCTTGTTCATATTCCTCACAAAATCATTCTAACGGCGTGTTCATTGCACTCACTTCACTGTTCACTTCGTTCTGTACACTGTACACACCATTAGTAATACCATCCCGGGCGGACACATGAAAGCAATAAACGCCCGTACAATATTAATACTATTCATGCACCAGTTTATATTTGTATTAATATTGGGGCTTATAGTGCGTTCTCCGGCCTGTCTAGTTTCCTGGCTCATGATTCCAAGGTGTTACACGATTCTAGCTGGAGAACCTGATGTTGGGGTCCCGAGGGTGGGTTCTTAGTGGCTTGGAAACAGAGGTTGAACGTAGAGAATCCAAGAGCCAGATGATACGGGAGATAGAGGTGAAGAGCCCAAGGAAAAGGTCAATGATGGTGAGAGATATGAATGGTACGTCCCAAAGGTGAATCCTCAAGCATCAGATGCACACTCATGACTCAATATACTAAGGTGAAGAGAGTACAGTTAATGCACTTATAAGGATCGAATGTGACGCATGAAGTGTATTAACATGCGAACGGAACAAGTGAACAAGCGAAGTAAATTACAAGGAAATGCAATGAACGCGTGAATTTATTGAGCGCAGAGACCGTAACGAGTGCACCTGTCAGGAGAGGTCCCTTTAAAGGTTTAGAAAGAGCGTCCGTGAGCCCCACGAACAAGGAAGCGTTTGTAAGGTTGGGACACAAGACCCTGAGAACTTGGATGTAGAACTCAAGCCTTTGGTAACAGCCTGGTGATGGTGTCGTCTCTCAGCGTATTACCTTGACATGAAAGAGCCGTGTGATGAGAGCCACCATTCATTATCCGTGGGGCCCGCTATAATACATTCATTTACGGGCTAATATAATTCGCGGGCCGTTTATAAACTAGTGCATGAAACGCCCGTAATATTATATTATAAGCCCGTATGAATTTTATTATAGGGGCATAAAGGACGTACGTGCAACGCTTTGCATGTGACAGCGTTAATTAATTTGACCGCCTGCCCTAAACCCCAAACCCCGTGTGGCCGTGTCGTGAAAGTGGGTGTTTGTGTGTGTGTGTGTGTAAACGCCTGAACATGGTGATCGCTGTGACTGACATTTCCATTTGCAGGGGGCAGTGACCCGCTCATATGCTCACTGCCAATGAAGCTGCTTATGAGTTGGGAGGATATCCAGGCTGATCACCTGGACGTACCTGCGTGTGGAGTACCTGGGCAACGCCGTTGCAGCTGGTATCCACCACACTTTTTGTGACATCATGTACCCTGAAGTCCCAAACTCCTCTTGAGTGTGTTGTGGGTCTGGTGGTTGGTACATGTTGGTACCGTGATCACTGCATCAGTTCATGCCAAGCCGAAGTGTGTACCAGTTCTGGTTTTTCCCGACATGGGGCCAGATCTCAGGGGCATGTGCCCGAGCCCGCGATAGCGGATGAGTGAATCACAACGTTGCAGACGCTTGTTCTCATCCATCGGGATCATCTGCAGTAGGATGACATGTGCCCACAGTGGGCTTCATCGGGATCATCGGTCACTGCACGGTCAAGGGCCGCGGTCATGGGTTGATCAGTAGAGACAGCTTGCTGAACATGTGCTTTCCCTAGGAGTGCAGGTAGATCGTCTGTGCATGTGCAGGTAGGAGGACCAGGTAGGCACGCGCTCAAGGTTTCCGGAATCCTTAAACAGACATGTCATTGACTGTCCTCCCATGATGCTGTCTGACCCCCTGTTTTGTTGTTTTCGCGTTTCTTGTTGCCTCCTGGTGTCGTTCCTGTTTTGTTGTCTCTGCCTCCTCTCTTGTTGCTGTTCATGACTGGCTTGCTGACACCAGCTTGCTTCTTCGCGTCCTTTTCGCCCTTCGGGGCGTGTGTGTGTGTAAACGCCTGAACATGGTGATCGCTGTGACTGACATTTCCATTTGCAGGGGGCAGTGACCCGCTCATATGCTCACTGCCAATGAAGCTGCTTATGAGTTGGGAGGATATCCAGGCTGATCACCTGGACGTACCTGCATGTGGAGTACCTGGGCAACGCCGTTGCAGCTGGTATCCACCACACTTTTTGTGACATCATGTACCCTGAAGTCCCAAACTCCTCTTGAGTGTGTTGTGGGTCTGGTGGTTGGTACATGTTGGTACCGTGATCACTGCATCAGTTCATGCCAAGCCGAAGTGTGTGTGTGTGTGTGTGTTTATCTCACCTACTGTTGACTTCGAATCAATAGCCCCCCTCCCCCGGGACGGGATGACACGGGGCACGCTGTCCTTGGGTTGGCATGTTTTTGGTACAGTAAAACCAAAACAAGGTCAACCCGGGAACCCAAACTCCTTCCCCATATACCGTCAACCCCGAACAACCCAAAAGTGAAGCGCTTCAGCGCCAGGCGAACAGCGTGTGGCTGTGTTCTGGGAGCTACATGGCGGATCTGGCACTCCTGAGTGCCAGAGCGTGCCGCCAGGGCAGCGGCTTCATGGCTGCACGGTGTCGGCTTTGTTCTCTGTAGAAACTGTACGTGTTTCCGCGCTACTTTTGCGAGCTGCGCAGTAGCGCGAACGCTGCCGCGCCGCGACTGCGTGTTTTCTCTCGCCGCAGCGCCCTACACCCGTCAGCTGCTTTTCCTTGCCTGACTCCTGCTCCCTCCGTGAGTGCCAGAGATGGCCACTCGTACTGCGCCGCCGGGCTGATGTAGTAGTTGGCTCACGGCCCGTAGAACGCCGTGGGCCGGAGCTGCCATTTGCGAATCTTGCTTCTGTGTTGGTCTGGCTGGCTGCTCTGCGGGGTAGCAGGGGGGGGGGGGGATAATCACGTGCATAAGTACGCGCAAGATGCCAGCAATGTTGGGCAAGACTTGCTTTTGTTAATCTACGTGTACCTTCGGCATTTCTTCCTCCTGTGCCAGCATGGATCTGCCTGAAGTACCATCACTGCGATGGCAAGTCTCGCAAGCGCTCATGCTGGTGTTGTTGCTGCGCCTGTCTGGCGAGGCTGCTTGGGCCTCACTGGAGCGCTTCTGGCGCTTCAGCTTCCTGGAGCTTGACGAGTGCCATGTGGCCTGGACGCTCCCTCGCGCGGACGCTGCGGGGCGTGTTGTCCGATACGCGATGTGGAATGAAAGCCGACAGGGTCGCTTGCCATGGAAGGTTCTGGTGTCACTTCGGCGAGCTCTCCTGGGCAGGTGGTTGAACCTTCAGTCGGCTTGCGTGTCGAACACTTTGATTCGAGCAGCGCATCAGGTTTTGACTTTTCGAATGCTCCGGGGGTTTGGTGAGCATTCTCTTCTCGAGATCGACGATTTTGGTGACGAAACCTGGGAGTTCGACCAGCCAATGGAGGAGGCGCCCGCGGATAACGACATTTTCCACGCGCCTCTGGACACGTCTCTTTTGGCCGGAGAATGTGAGTATGACGGAGATTCTGAGGTTTGCAGTTCCCATTCCATGGAAGCAGAGAGACGGTGTCTTCCGCTGGTGCTGTTGCGCATGCTCTGCGTCTACGCGCAGCTCGACTTGTGCTCAGTTCCTCGTGCTGCCGACGTGGTACAGCATGCCAGAGTCGGTCGGTGCAAAGCCAGCCACTTCTTGTCCGCTCTCAGACGCGCCGAAGCAGACGCCACGTCCGAGCTCTTCCAGAATGCTGCTCTCTGCGGGAATCTGGAGGCGGCACACGCGCAGTCATGTCAGTCCACCCGACCCTAAACCCTGAATCCTACACCCTGAACCCTAAACCCCTCAACCCTAAACCCTTAACCCCTGAACCCTTTACCGTAATACGGAAATATTTCAGGTGGATGCGACCTGCATCGGCAAATTTCATGTGCGAAGCAGCAATGTACACTATGCTGCACAGATTGCGAAGCTCAACCAGAAAATTGCCAAGAAGAAGCTCCCAATGCCCAAAAGTTTCTTGGCACATGTGCCAGTCCTGGGAATTCGTGAGCGTTCTGGACCTCCCTACATCTGGGTTGGGGACCCTGTTCTTACTCTTCCCAAGTCCAGACCGCCGACCGAGTCGTCCCAGCAGGCTCCCATTTTGTCACACACCAATAACTGTAGCTCTGACCCAATTGTAAGGGCCCATCAACCCCGTTGCTTTTATGAAAAGTTATACTTAGGATGTGTTGGCCCTGAAATCCCCTTCCTAAGCCAATCTTCACCCATAGGTGGCATCCTCCAAACTCTTCGACTTGGTCAAAGGAAGAAGCAGAAAACGCTGCATCTTCCCAGATGGAAACGTTGCGTGGCAGTCCGCAGCCGAAGCCCGTGGCCTTCCAGTTGAACCTGTGACTCACCAGTTAAGAGTTCTCACCCGGCCATACTCCCCAGCCTGTACAGCCATAAGTGCTCTTGCCGGGACGCAGTGCATCGACAGGAGCTGGGAAGGTCTTAAACAGTTCTTGCCGAAGCACTTGGTGCTCAAAGTCCAAGGCGCCCTCAATGAGGAGGTTCCAAAGACCGTGCACCAGTGGATGTGGCGTATGCATGTTTTCCACGAAGGCTACCTGAGCCCAGCAGACTTCCTCAACAAGCTGCGAACGATTGTGTGAAAATAGGCCTCGACGAAGTAGTTTCAGAGCGATGTTAAACACTACTTTTTCAGCGACATTCCTTGGAAACAGCACAAACGCACTGTAAAATCACTAATTTACGAGATGCCAATTCTTCGAATCCTACACGGCGTTTAACGGGCCGTGCACCTAGTAGTTGCGAATCTTCGAATGTTCCGGGTTTTTTGGAAGAACATCTGGGTTTTGTCTTTGGAGGGTGAGTGGGTCGGGTGGGTTTTAGCAACTAGGGTTTCGCTTTGGGCTTGAGGTGTTTTTCTTGAGCCGAGGACCATTGAACAGGGGCTCCCGTGCTCTATGCCGCTCGACAAAGGGCTGATTGATGTATGAAGACATCCCCACCGCTCCGCGATGCCCAGGTGGTATATAGCCATATTCTGTTCGAGGTGTTCGGGGTTTAGGTTTCCGTGTTGCGAGGGCGCCTCTTCGCCTTCACCGGGTCGGCGTGGAGTGACGAGTGGTCCCAGTACGTGCCTGGGAGGGGCATACCTTGGAAACTTTTTCTCGCTAGGTTTCGGGTTACTTCGTTTAGACTTTCTTCCCCGCCTCTCCCTGTCTCTAAGGTTTGCAACAAGTGTGGCGTACGACAGGGCCGCTTCGACGCTGTATACTTGGACTCCTCGGAGGTTGATGCGGACTGGGAGCTGAGCGACATCCGTCGCGAGGGCAGGGAGTATACGCAGATGAAATTTATGGGTGTAGAGCCGCTACCTTCAGAACCATCGCGTCACTGGCTGAATCGGGAGACCCGCGCCAAGCCCGCTTTGGAGGGCGAGCCTCCCGAGGGATTCTGGGACGCGATGGCGCTGTTGGTAGACATGAGTGAAGGCACGCGTGTTATGACTTTGGCGGAGCGAAGGGGCCTCCACAAGTATTTGATGTGGATGGATCCGGAGGTCCGGCAACTCTACCGGCATTACAATAGCAGGGTGATGCCGGCGCATTTTCTCGTTCGGGCAAGCAGGCAAAGAGTTAGGTAGGCATAAAGATATAGTAGCGTTAGATTCTTGTAGTTACGTAGCAATCAGGTCGTCCACGGTTCAGGGATATAGACGTAGAATATAGACGCAGCTTGGGATGTAGGATCCGGAGGTTACATGAGATCATCCGCGTAGACGTTCAAGTGCGGGGGGGTTTCAATGCCCGCTTGCCCGGCGGGCCTCCAATTTTCCGCCGCTCTAGCGCCCAGCCCTATACAATTTTCTAGAAACCCCTAAACCCTATAAACCCTAAACCGCAGACCCGTGTGAGTTGGGGCTGTTAGAACCTGCATGCCTCGCGGGCCTTTCGGAAAACCGAGAGTCGACCTAAACCCTAAACCCTAAACCCTAAATCCTAAACCCTGAACCCTGAACCCTAAACCCTCAGCCCTGTGGAGTCGCCCAGGTTGTGACGGCTCGTGAGGTTCAGCTCGTGCTGCTGGACTCGAATGATGCTGCAGGTGGCGTGCTAATTCATGGTCGGGGCGTTTGGCTGAGTCTTTGGGGCTGGCGCTACCGTGAACCCAAACCTTAAACCCTAACCCCAAACCCCAAACCCCAAACCCTAAACCCTAAACCCTAAACCCTAAAACCCTAAGCCCCCCAACGCCACGCGCCAAGAGGACTCAGCGCCGGTCAGCTCTACTCCGTCACGGTCCACGCGGCTCTTTGGATCAAAGAGGAGACCTAAACAGGAGGCTGCGAGATTTTCAGGGTTTCAGTCAGGGTTTTGGGGTTTAGGGTTTCTAGGGTTTTTAGGGGTTTTAGGGTTTTTAGGGCTTTTAGGGTTTTTAGGGTTTTTAGGCTTTTTAGGCTTTTTAGGGTTTTTAGGGTTTGGGACGGTTGGGGTTTAGGGTTTTAGGGTTTAGGGTTGTAGTGCTTATTGGTGTGGGTCTCAACGCAGGTCCCTCTCGCGGTGATTGCCACCCTAAGCCCTATAAGCCCTGAGCCCTAAACCCTAAACCCTAAACCCCTAAACCCTAAACCCTAAATCCTAAACCTTAAACCCTAAACCCTAAACCCTAAACCCTAAACCCTAAGCCCTAAACCCTAAACCCTAAACCCTAAACCCTAAACCCTAAACCTAAACCCTAAACCCTAAACCCTAAGCTTAACCCGAAGAGCTAAACCCAAGTCTTGGTCAACTGTTTTCCTCCCAGGTTCTCAACCCGGCCGAGCAAGGCTGGGAGGCCAGCTCGTTGGTTTCGGGTTTAGGGTTTAGGGTTTAGGGTTTTCGGTTTAGGGTTTTGGGTTTTGGGTTTAGGATTTAGGGTTTAGGGTTTAGGGTTTAGGGTGGAGGTTTCAGTGTGCAGGGTGGAGGTTTCAAAGGCATTTCAGGGCCATTCCACGGGTTTCTGGGGCCCAAGGCATTTTTTGGAGGGGATTGAAAGTTGAGGGTTTTTGGGGCTTTGGGTTTAGGGATTTGTTGCATTTTAGGGGTCAGGCCCTGCAGGTTTGAGTTTTTAGGAGTTTGGGAATCCGGATATATTTTTTTGGCCGGGTTGGTTTAGGTCCAGGTTGTAAGGGCGGCCAAGGGTTCAGGGCTTAGAGCCCAGGGTTGAGGGTTTCGAGTTTAGGGTTAAGGGTTCAGGGTTGAGGGCTGAGGTTGAGGCTTGGAGGATGTGGGACAAGGGGGATATACGTGCTTTTCTGGACCTTTTGATCCATGACATGAACCCAAAGCCCCCAAACCCACACTCCAAGCTTGAGATGTTCCCCCTCAGTCCTTAATAGGCATTTTAGTAGGGGTGTACTACAATCCCTATAAACGACTGTTAGTAGAAGGGGGAACATCCCAACCCTAAGCCCTAGAGCCCTAGAGCCCTAAACCCCTAAGCCCTAAGCCCTGAACCCTAAACCCTAAAGCCCTAAAACCCTAAAACCCTAAAACCCTAAAACCCTAAATCCCTAAAACCCTAAAACCCTATAACCCTATAAACCTATCACCCTACAACCCTAAACCCTAAACCCTAAACCCTAAATCCCAACCCTAAACCCCCAAGCTGCGGAAGGTGCTCGCTTCCAACGTCTGGGAGCTGCAAACGCGCGATGCCGACCTCAAGGAGGGCTTCAAGCAGGGGCTTTAGGGTTTAGGGTTGAGAGTTTAGAGTTTAGGGCTGAGGGTTTAGGGTTTAGGGTTTGGGGTTTGGGGTTTAGGGTTTAGGGTTTGTAAACCCTTGGTTTTTGAGTGCTTGAACTCCTCGAGCTCTTGGAGCGGCTTTCAGCTACCTGGGGGTGGGGGATGAGGGGATGTTTGAAGTGTTTAGGGTTTAGGGTTTATTTACTTCGGGTGTAGGGTTTTGGGTTTGGGGTTGAGGGTTGAGGGTTGAGTGTTGAGTGTTGAGGGTTGAGGGTTGAGGGTTGAGGGTTGAGGGTTGAGGGTTGAGGGTTGAGGGTTGAGGGTTGAGGGTGCTTTGGGTTTAGGGCTTAAGGATGAGAATCGAGAATGCCGAGGGTTTAAGGTTGAGAACCGTGCCTTGAGATCCTTGAGAACCCTAGACCCTCAGGCCCTAAACCCCAAACCCGAAATCCTAAGCCCTAAGCCCTAAACCCTAGACCCTAAATACCCTAAATCCTAAACCCTAATGCCTTGTTGCGCTTCATGCATCGCACTCAGGGCATTGGTGTCTTGTGTAGTGATGGTACAGAGATCCGAACCTGCCAATGCCCCTAATGCCTTAATGCCCAAAAGCCCTAGACCCTAAACCCTAAACCCTAAACCCTAGACCATAGACCCTAGACCCTAGACCCTAGATGTTCAGATGGTGGCGCTGCCGCTCATGGGGCTGGGAAACCATCAGCGCGAAACCCACACATCCAAGGCATGGAATCCCTTGAAGAAGACCTTAAATCCCCTAAACAGCAAGGCCTATAAAGTCATAAACCCTACACCCTAAACCCTAAACCCTAAACCCGAAGCCCTAAACCCTAGCACTAAACCCTAACCCCGAAACCCGAAACCCTGTGTAATGTGGGCAGATCCTGGACGGTCCCAGCTTCGTCCCTGGCTTCCGTGTGGGGGAAGAGATTCCGTTTGGCGTGGGGCGCCTCAGGGGGTGCCGAATGGAGTTGGGAGAGTTGGATTGGGTTTAGGGTTTAGGGTTTCGGGTTTAGGGTTTAGGGTTTGGGGTTTGGGGTTTGGGGTTTGGGGTTTGGGGTTTGGGGTTTAGGGTTTAGGGTTTAGGGTTTAGGGTTCAGGCTCAGGGTTTCAGGACCTCAGTCATGTTGTGGTTTTAGGGTCCTTTTTTTCATCTACCCTCCTAAACATCTAGGGCCTAAGCTAGCCAACAGGGCCCTGATCCTTGGCCCTTCGGGGAGTTCGGGACCCTAAGCCGTAGCCCTAAACCCTAAGCCTAAACCCTAAACCCTATAAACCCTAACCCTAAACCCACAACCCGAAACCCTAAACCCTAAACCCTAAATCCTACACCCATGGTCCCTTGACATGAAGATCCCTCCATCCCGAGGCGTTGCTGCCGGGCGGCCCTTCCACTGGAGAGGCGCGCGCTTAGGGGGGCGGGTGGGGTTTAGGGTTTAGGGTTTAGGGTTTTCGGAGAATGCGGTGCGCCCTAGCAATATTAATTGACTCTATATCTGCATCTCCATTTATAGTCTCCTGAGCCTCTAATGCATCTATAAGCCCATAAACCCCTAAAGCCCTCAACCCGAAACCTTTCAACACGACGTAAATCCCTGCGCCTTGAGACAAGCGAAGGACCTGAGGGCTGGCGTCAAGCAGTGGATCTCCATCGCCTTCCGCGTGGCTGTGCCCACGCGGCCAGGGGAGGCGGGGGTTCGGGTGCGCGGGGTGCAGAAACCAGGTTTTGTGACATATAACTAGGATTTCGACGGTTCTTAGGGTTTACGGGGTGTAGAGGAAAGGGGTTTAAAGGGATTTTGGGAAGGGTTGAGGCTTCAGGGGGCTTTGGGGGTTTACGCTTCGGGTCGCGGCATGCGGTGAGTTCTACGAGCTGACTTGATGTGTCTCTGTGAAGCCAATCGGTTCAAAAAGCCATCTCTGCAACAACCACCACAGCCTCTAAACCCTGCAGCAATGTCGGAGCCGACTCCTACAGTCGAGGTGTCTGGGCCTTCAGACGACTCTGGGGGCAAGGCGGACCTAACGCCCTACCGGGTGTTAGCAGTGGACGGCACCGAGTTGCTGGTGAATCTTCCGCCGGACGCGTCCGTGTACGACTGCTGCCTAGCCGTCGCGGGTATGAAGCGCCTGGCCGTGTCCCAAGTGCGCCTCATCGCAGGCGGGGAGCCCCTTGTCTGCACAAGGGCGCGGGCGCTTCGGGAAGTCTGTGGCGCAGCCGACCTGATGATGGCGTCTTGGCTCAGTGTCGTTGCCTCATCTTCTTTTTGGCCTAGAAGTCTTTCCAAAGATTGAACCGATTTTCAGTGAGCCAGAAAAGCGGGGAGGGTGACTGGGAGTGGGGGGGGGATTTGCCCGGGTGGCGCGAACCAGGTCGTGGCCAGCAGCTACGCCCTGGGCCGAGCGGTAGGGACCCTGCAACTTGGTTGCGAGGCAACGGAGTTCGAGCACTTCCCGCCTTCGGCGTTTCAAGATCACGCCGAGGTGGGCTCCGAGCTTCACCTCTGCCAAGGCCAGAAGGTGTCCGCCTTCTCACTGGTGTCGAAGCTGCGAGCTGGTGGAGTGGCCTTCACTGGGCCCCTGTTGCACTCCGAAGCCCCCGACTGTCCTCCTCTGTCGGGTCGGGTGCTGATGCGAATTGTGCTGCACACCAGGAGCTTTGCTTTGGGCATCGGTGCCGGCACTGCCAGTGTCGACGTCAACAGAGATCCCGAGCACGACCCGGCCTTCTTCGGCCTGTACCACGGAGGATCCACCAGGAATGTTGCAGCTCGGGCAAGGCGAACTCACAGGGCAAGCAAGGGTGACTGGAATCACGACATCAAGCTGGCCGTCCTCTTCGACATCGACCAAGGGACGATGCAGTGCTACGAGAACTTGGAGCCCTTCGGCCCCATGTTCACGGAGCTTCCGGCTGAGCCACTGTGGCCAGTGGTCGTCTTCTTCGGACCCGAGGATGCTGCCAGCATCGCAGTGGACAGCGTGTGAAGAGCCGCCGAGCCCCCGCGTACCCACGTTTGTGGATCGAGGGTCTTGAGGGTTTAAGGTTTAAGGTTTAGGGTTTAGGGTTTAGGGTTTAGGGTTTAGGGTTTACAAGGTTTAGGGAGTTTGAGGGCTCAGGGTGCACGAGTGCTCGATGACAAGCAGCGGGGTACTACGTGCAAAAGTGCGCACCTTGTGCAAGATGTTCATCAACCACGACGTGTGTTTGTTGGTCTGCACCGCAAACCCTAAACCCTAAACCCTAAACCCTAAACCCTAAACCCTAAACCAATAAGCCCTATAAAGCCTACAGCTCCATAGGGCCCGAAAAACCCAAGAGCCCTAAAAAGCCCTATCATCCCTCAAAGCCCTGCTAAACCCTCAGCCCTTAAACCCTTAAACCCGAACCCTAGAACAAAGAACTAATCCCGAAACCACAAACCCCAACCCCAAACCCTAAACCCGAATCCCTAGACCCTAAACCCGTAACCCTACATGCACACCAGTCCCTATTCCTTAAACCCTAAACCCTGAACCCTAATTCCTAAACCCGAATCCCTAAAACCCTAAACCTCTCTTTCATATATAAGTAAAATGTTGGGGAGTTACTGGGCAAGCTCGCCGTTTTACTGGGCAACGTCATTTTTGTACTGGGCAAGGTCTTTGTTTTAGTGGGCAAGGTCCTGCTATAAGTGAAATATTTCCTTAATGTTATGGGATTGTTTGGGCGGGTGCGCATTTTTCTGGAATAGTTTCTTGACGTATGAATGCTTGGACTTGAGATGCTGAACCCTAAACCCTAAAACCTAAACCCTAAACCCTAAACCCTAGACCCTAAACCCTAAACCCTAAACCCTAAACCCTAAACCTGAACCCTAAACCCTAAACCCTAAAGGGCCCAGCAGGTGATGCAACTCATCGCCGAGAGCGGCTCAGAGTTCGAGGCCCTTCTTGAGGTTTAGGGTTTAGGGTTTAGGGTTTAGGGTTGAGGGTTGAGGGTTGAGGGTTGAGGGTTGAGGGTTGAGGGTTGAGGGAGATTGAGGTTTGGGAGTTTTAGGGTTTAGGGTTTTCAGCTTGGGAGTTGACGGCTCTGGGTTGAGGGAGTTTGGGGTTTGGGAGTTGAGGGTTTAAGAAATGTAGATTTTGTAGGCTCAGGGGAGTCCGGAAGAGCGCTTTCATTCAGCTTCCTGTGTTTTGGCACACCGCTCTTGAGCGTTTCGCGGGGACTGCCCTTGGCTCCCGACCCGGATTGGTGCCGTCGCTGGCACACAGGTACTTTCGCATTTGTTTTCGCATCTCCCAGCTCCGCCACAGGGATTTCGGTTTAGGGTTTAGGGTTAGGGTTTAGGGTTTAGGGTTTAGGGTTTAGGGTTTAGTGTTTAGGGTTTAGGGTTTAGGGTTTAGGGTTTAGGGTTTAGGGTTTAGGGTTTAGGGTTTAGGGTTATATAGAGTTTAGGGTTGAGGGTTTGGGGTTAGAGTTTAGGGTTTAGGGTTTGGGGTTTGGGGTTTAGGGTATTTAGGGTTTAGGGTTTAGGGTTTAGGGTTTAGGGTTTAGGGTTTAGGGTTTAGGTTTAGGGTTTAGGGTTTAGGGTACCCTTATTGGGGTCCTTCTACTAGGGAATCCGATTAATTTGGGGGTCTATTAGGGATCCTTTATTTTCGTAAAGACCCACAGAGCTCCTGATGAAAAAGCCTGAGCCTGTGTGTGGGGGGGCGAAATCCATATCCCCTAAAGCACTAAACTAAACCTTTAAACCCCCAGGCCCAGACCCCAAATTTTTCACCCCAGACCCTAAACCCTAACCCTAAACCCTAAACCCTAAACCCTAAACCCTAAACCCTAAACCCTAAACCCTAAACCCTAAACCCTAAACCCTAAACCCCCTAAACCCTAAACCCTAAACCCTAAACCCTAAACCCTAAACCCCAAACCAAAAAAGGGGGGGGGGGGGGGCACCAAATGCGTGAGGCCGTTTGCGGCGTGCGTGATCCACCCGGCCATGCAGCCCCACTTGGTGCTCTTTGGCTTCAGGGCTGGTGTTTTGGGCGTGGGTTTATGGGGTTTAATTAGGGTTTAGGGTTTAGGGTTTAGGGTTTAGGGTTTAAGGTTTAGGGTTTAGGGTTTATGGGGTTTATGGGGTTTAGGGGGGTTTATGGAGGTTTATGGGGGTTTAGGAGATGGGCTTCTTAATGTCATAATCGCATAACTCGTAATGATACATGATGTGGTTGCTGATTTGGCTGGGATCGGAGGCATTGCTGTTCCAACTGAGCTAGAGCCTGTCAAACGAACCGTCGATGCGCTGAAGGGACCCGAAACCCTAAACCCAAAACCCCAAAGCCTAAACCCTAAACCCTGAACCCTGAACCCTAAACCCTAAACCCTAAACCCTAAGCTTGATAAGACCAACCTGGGGCTGTGGCGCAGTCTGCTCTTCTCGCGAAAGGGCGCCTCTTTCGCCCCCGTAGCTGTGCAAGAGCCCCCATGGTTGTTTTTTCACGCGGTTGCAAGCAACGAGAGAGAGAAAGTGAGAGAGCGAGAGAGAGAGAGAGAGAGAGAGAGAGAGAGAGAAAGAACGAGAGAAAGAGAGAGAGAGAGAGATAAAGAACAAGCAGCGGGAGGGATGGAGTGAAAGCGCCAGAGAGAGAGAAAGAGAGAGAGAGAGAGAGACGAGAGAGAGAGAGAGAGAGAGAGATCAGGTGAGCAAAGGGAACTGGCATCCACATTGGAAGAAGTTTTTCTTGTTCTCAGGCACACGGCGGCGGTGGATGAGCGGTGGGCTCTTGAAGAACCGCATACATAGAGCTCATGGGTCAAGACTCAAGACACACTAAGACTCCTGAACTACTTGACTTCAACATACCAGGGCTAGTAGGCCTTAGCAGCCCCCCAAGTCAACCCCATAAAGGCCTTTAAAGAGATTGCAGGGTGCAATGGCCCTTCTGATACCGGGTAGTGTACTGTGAAAGCAACAGTGAACCTGCAAACCTTCATTGGTTCTACCTACTTCCGATCTCGACATTGTCTTTTCGTTTCGACGTTCTCTTCGGGATGTGGGTAGGGGGGGGGGGGGGGGGGCAGAGGAGGCAGGGCAGTTTCTGGAGCTTGGGGATGAGACATGAGAACCCTAAACTCCTAAACCCAAAGTCCTAAACCCTAGACCCTAGACCCTAAACCCTAAATCCCTAAACCCTAAACCCTAAACCCTAAACCCTAAACCCTTAACCCTTTCGTGGGTCACTCAGGCTGTTCTCGTCGGCCAGCAGATCGCCAACTGCAAGGGCCTCTTGAACTACGCAGACATGGAGGCAGGTACCTCGGGACGCTTGGGGGCCCTCCGGGAGAACTAGGGAGGGTTTGGGCTTAGGGCTTAGGGCTTAATTAGGGCTTAGGGTTTAGGGTTTAGGGCTTAGGGTTTAGGGTTTAGGGTTTAGGGTTTCGGGTGTAGGGTTTAGGATGATTACCCAAGCCCTCTACCCTAAGCCCCCTTGGAGTGGAGCGACTTGGATCTGGGTGAGAGGGTGTTCTGGCATCTCGAGTTTCGGGAGTTTAGGGTTGAGGGTATGGGTTTCAGGGCTTCATGCACTCTTCTTGAGAAGCCCCAAAGCCCTAAACCCTAAACCCTAAAGCATGGGGCTTGGAGGGTGCTTTTGACAGTTGAGGGCTTACCCGCCCTAAACCTATAGCCGGCCCCTGAACCCGTACAGGGAAAACCCGAAACCCTAAACCCTAAACCTCAGACCCGATCGCAAGGCGTCGGGGCTTCAAGAACAGTAGGGTTTAGGGTTTAGGGTTTAGGGTTCTATGAATTCGAACATAGTGGTAGGTATTGTGCAATCATAATTGTCACGCTTCGCGACCCGCCTCGGCCTGGGGCGAGGCAACGACTTGGTAGCCCAGTGGTACCTTTTCCCCTTTATTTGGTTCAAGGCTCACTTACAAAGTAACCAACCCCAACACAGGGTGCCCAGATTATGATATGGTTGCCGGGCTACGAAGCAACAGGCTTCAGGGCTTTAAGAGGCTTTGCGCTACACCCTCAACCCTCAACCCTCAACCCTAAACCCTAAACTCGCAACCTTTGCCTTTTCTCGGATGCTGTTGCAACAGGCTCATGTACAAGCCAGGCTGGGTTTCCGCCTATGGTGGGGGCTTAAATACATGCACCGTCCGCTCCCGGGCGCCTGTCGGCTTCGGGTAATTTCCCATTCCAGGCGAAGAAGAGGGGGGCATAGGCGTAATCTTGGAGGGCCGTTGGGGAGCACTTAGGCGGCTCTAGCAACACTTAGGTAGCGCGTAGGTCCTAAGGGGATCCCTTTGGGGCATTCATGCTGAAGTGGAGATAGACATGTGGTTTTGTGGTCCCTAAGTTCATAAGAAGGGCCCCTTAATCCCCCCAAAGCGGACCCTAAGCCCTAAGCCCTAAGTTTCAGGGATTCGAGGTGGGGTACCTGCTTTCTGCTCCCCATACACCTATGCCCGTAGGCTTCGGCGGAGTTGAAGAATATGAAGATCAGTCTGATCGTCATACGGTCGGTTCTCTAAATTATCGTACCTTTTCGGCTGCCCTGCATGAGAGGGGCCGCCTTACACTAAGGATCTCCAAAACAGGGAGCATATTGTACCCTACACCCTACACCCTACACCCTACACCCTACACCCTACACCCTAAACCCTAAACCCTAAACCCTAAACCCTAAACCCTCAACCCTCAACCCTCAACCCTAACCCCTAAGCCCTAAGCCCTAAAAGCCCTAAGCCCTACAAGCCCCAAGCCCTAAGACAAGGCCCGAAAGGTTGGCCCTTGGAACCCTGGCCCCGAAGCAGTCCCTAAACCCCCGAAACCCTAAACCCTAGCCCCAAATCCTGAATCCTAAACCCTAAACCCTAAACCCTAAACCCTAAACCCTAAACCCTAAACCCGAAACCCTAAACCCTAAACCCTAAACCCTACACGATGAACTCGCATCCCTTCGTAGTTCGAGCTTCGAGGTGGGTGCTGTCT